AAAATTGAAAACTGAAAACAATATCCCAGCACGATTCAGAGCAAGAGACCAATTGCAAAAGCTTCCTCGTGTATTACTGAATCTAACTGCATCGTTTTCCAACCCTTACGCGCCCAAAATTGGTATAGGGAATTCAAACTGTTTTCAATTTTATGCATAATCGTGTTTTACTATTCAAGCATTTCCATTGCATTTTTTTTATGGATTCATACTAATTGGATGATTCTGAAGCTAACCTTATAACTTGATTGAGTTTTTATGTACTGTACGTGATTTCACCATTAAAGCCAGCTAGGGTTCTTCAAGTTTCAATTTGGGAACTTTCACATACTGTAAAATTGAGAATCCTTAATACCATGGTTGGATTCAGAAAGCTTGGACGAACACAACACACCCCTCGCGCCTAATTTATGTGATACCATGGCCTATTCGCTATTATTGGAAACTGTATGTTTTGGGGGGGTTTAAAACCCCCGCTAACCCTTTTTATGTTTCAGGAAAAACAATCAAACGGGGAAGACGATGACTTGTCTTCATACGATAGGTCCATTTAAAATCTTAGCGCGTTTTTTGAGTTAATGTTATTAACGTGTTTTATTCCATATATTATTTGTTGCCCACTAATACTACAAAGAAAGCCAATAGCGCAGATGGTGGATGCGTTGTCATGTAGCCACTGGGACCTGGGTTCGATTCCCAGGTCCCTCACCTTGTTCTATATTTTTTGTTTCAGCGTGATCTCATACAATTTCCCCTCAAAGGCCTACCATATACTCATCATCCAGGCGTGCCACTTGCCCCACAATCTCAATCCAATGGCCCAGAGTCAAAGCCTATGATGGGCTGCAGTCAACGTATACTCATGCTACCCTGGAAAGTCAACCAGGCCAAAGATCAATGGGCCAAAAATGCTGGACTTTACCTCCAATATTGGGGACTGAACCCCCCCTTGGTATTGTATTTCTTTATATTTTCTTTGTTTTATTTTTATTATTTGTTTTAATTCCCTTATTTTCTTTTAATTCCATAAAAATTAATTTCACATAAAAATAACAAAAAAATCAGAAAAGGCAAAATTCAAAATATATTTTATTTAATTAATATTTTTATAAATAAACCTCACTAATTAATTAGATTTAAACTTAGGGTTAATTTTAATATCTTTTCTTAATAAATTAAAAATTGGTAGAATTAGGGTTTCAAGTAACTTTCCATTCTTTTTCTTTTTTCTCACCATAATTAATTATTAAATATTATTTTTTGTAATTAAATTACCATGTAAATAATTAGATTAATCTTAGGTTTAATTTTAACATGTTTTCTTAGTAAATTAAAAAACAACTAGAATTAGGGTTAATGTTTTAATTTCATTTAATAAATCTCATAAAAAACCATAAATACAAAAGATCTCAAAAAATAGTTTCTTTTTATTTTAATTAATTTGTTAATAATAATTTTATTTCATTAAAAAAGGGTCCAACGCCCTCGCTTGCGATTTTTTTTATTCTCTTCGCGCATTTTATTTATTTCTTTCTTTTAAATATTTATGTAATTCTCCCAAAGCCGTGTAAATTTAATTTCTCGCACTTTTCTTTATTTTTGTCAAATCGGGTCCTGGATTTAATTTGGCGATGTGGACCCGCGCCTTTGTAATAGTTTAGAACTTTAATTTTCTCGCAATTTTTAACTGTTAATAATGGCATGCAAGAATGAATGACCAAATAAAAACAAGCGTAGATCACCCATAACATGACAAGACAAAAATAACTGAACATGACACACAAATCACACACCACCCCTAGGGTACGCCTCACTGTTGCCTTGCCTCGAAAGGTGATCGTCGAGTAGAGGATGTCTTAGTAAGTCCTCATGATCCGAGAACCTGGCATGAGGGTAGCTTCTAAGGTATCTTCCTATTGCTCTGGTGATCACCATGTCCCGAACCTCGAATTGACCCGAACACCTCCAACGGTGGTGCTACCTACCTCTCAATGGTGGGATGGCATTACTTTAAAGGACATTTACACAGACGAATTCCTTAGGTTAGGTAGACGACTCTAGATACTTGCTCTAATTTCAAAAACAAATCAAAAAATACTTTTCACACCGACACCTTTTCAAAAAGCTTTCGAAAGCAATTTTTCAAACACTCTTGAGGACCGATACAAGAGTCGAACTGGAATTTTCAAAGAAACTTTTTAAAACCCCACAATTGAAAAGCAAACATTTTGAAAACACAAATGAGCAAGTATCTAAGAGCCCATGGATAACCATGGATAGAAAGGGTGCTAACACCTTCCCTTTCTATAACCTACCTCCCGAACCGAGAGCAATCTCTTTAAGGAATTTTTCTGTGCTTTTGTCCTTTCCATTTGGAGAAAATAAAAGACGGTGGCGACTCTTGCTTCCGCGACATTTCGCGAACCAGCGTTAAACAGTCAGTTCCAGATCCACCGATCACAGCAACAATCTTAGTGCTATCAATATTTCTAAAAATCCTATTGAAACAACCGACAGAATAAATCATCGAGAGAAAATCAATAAAGTTGATATCGAATGTTTTTTATCCCACAAGGAAGGAAAGGTAAACATTGACTAAACTTGAGAAGGGTGAAATCAAGGTCAAACAACCGAGAGACACGAGTAAGGTAGTCAATTACGTGAGGCGGAGGTATTAGCACCCCTCACGTCTGTGGTACTCCACGGGATCCACTCTTATTGTTCTAATCAAAGGGCATGTTCTAATCTAAAGCTAAAGAACTAAGAGAAAAAATACAAAGAGGGAATGTGTGCAAAAGAAAACACTGGGAAAGAAGGAATATTTACAAAGTTTCGCTCGCCTGGGCCATACGACCAAATGCCCATGTATCCTTTTAAGGAATCAGAGCGTCGTAGTTCGACTCAAAAGTTTTTGTTTTTTTGTGTTTTTTATGGATAATGCTGCATTTGCATCCTTATGGTTAGGATTACAATTCGTGCTTGGCATCGCAGCTGGTAAAAGACGCATGCTCGGCCCCTCGCACACTTAGCATTTCCAAGTTGTACGAATTTGAAACAACACATCCTTATTGAAAAGGTTTTAAAGGGAAAAAAGGTCCGAAGACAAAAAAAGTTTGCATTGGTTTGTACATTTTATTATGAAAGAATTTGCAACTTGAACTGTATTAAAGTCCGAAAGTGAAAATAGAGCAAGGCTCAGTCTAAACCGATTCTCTCTACCCTACAAGACTCAACTGCATATGATTTGCGTCTTGCTTTATTAAATGTTTTAGAATTTTCAAAGAAAAAGAGGTTTTAGTTTTAAGAATGCAAAAGGGAAATAAAAACGTCTAAGGGAAACTATCTAGCTCTATCCCTAAATGCTATCATACAATGATGGTCCTAAGGTTCGGATAACAAAAAGGGAAGTCTCTACCTACATTATCATGCATAGATTGCAAGCTAATGTCCAACTTGAATTGACAATGAGACAAGCAATCCTAAGGGAACATGCAAAGGTTACAACCTAATATCCAATTTGAATAGAAAATGAGACAAGCAATCCTAAGGGGTCATGCAACAGTTTAAAGAGAATACAACACAAGTGCAATAAAAAAAGTCGAGTCGAAGCCAAAACAAAATCGAGTGCAAGCTAATAGCAAACAATAGAGTCCAAAGGATCTCAAAGTGGGAGTAAGGAACTCTTTCTACTTGATTTTCTCGAGCTCTGACAATAAGTAACTACTCGGAGCATCAATGTTTGATGAAACGTTAGCTAACATCGTCAAAACGAATGAGAAAACATGGGGGTTAATTATAAACCCTCCTCCACTTTATTTGACTCAATAGGATAGAGTAGGCACGATTCAAAGCATCGACGCACAGTGTGAGCTAGGAACGCCACGAACTAGAATGCGTGGGGGCCGATTGCGAGCCCTCCCCCATTTTATTGACTCGATAGCAAGCACAATGTAAAAGGGGAAGGAAAATGCCTACTTCGAGGACTTTAGCATAAATGTCTCCTTTTGAGGTCTATAAATAAACAACAAGAAATCGCCCCTTTTGGAGTCTTTTACAAACAAAAACATCGCCTCATTTTGAGGACTTTAACAAAACAAACATCGCCTAACTTGAGGACTTTAAATAGATTGTCCACCTAAAGTAGGGACTCCCAGTCATGCATCTCTATTCCTACTTCTCATGGAAAGGAAAGCGGTAAATGATGCAGAAAGTTAAACTAGAAATAAAATAATACCAAACGAACAAGAGTTTGTAGCAAAGCAAGCAAAGCAGATAAACCCGAAAAACATCGTGCAAGCTTCACCAATCAAAGAAAAGAGTCAGAAATCAAATGATCGGAATAAGCATCGAAGTATCATCAATGTGAAAATAAATCACAAGCGGAAGGTGCGTCAAACATATATGAATATCACACAATAAACCTGCATAAGACTCAAATCTCGACAAGTAAAAGTGAATCACAAATCTCGAGTGATCGAATAATCATGAATCAATTCCTAAAATTAAATAAAAAAATATAATTTTTTTTATTGATTTTAATATTTTTTATCATAAAAAACAATATAAAAAAACTAAAAAAAAATCCTAAATCTTAATAAGAAAATATGAGGATGATCGGGGAGTGCTAACTTGAGGATCAGGGGTGTGGGTTCAGTAAGCTAGCGCTAAGTCCCAAGCAACAATTCGACAACAATTTTTATTCACAAGCAAAACAAATCACCAAAAAAGGTGATATTGGGCCTTAGGGAGTGTGTTTCGGTTTAGGCCTTGATCCAACATAATCAACATTAATTTTTTAGTCCATTCTACAATCTTCTTATAAAAAAACTGAATAAATAAAAAATGAACATATAATGTGTTCAAACGGTATAGTGCTAGGGTTAAACCAAGTGACTGTTGGACTCCTTTCACAAAAACCGTGATTTCATCTTCTTCTTCTCAAGATTCCGCCACCGTCTTCCCAATACATCCATCACCGTCGTCTTCGCCTCTCTTTTCTCATGGATCGTGGCGGCTCATCCCTTTCTGATCATCTCTCCTCCTCTTCATCTCGTCAACAGCGCCCTGTTTCTCGACCTTCGTCGTCGTCTCAACTTTTCGAATCATCACCTTCACCGCTTCGGTCGCGGATTCGTTTTCATCTCGCTATCTTCATTGAATCAAACAAACGAAAAATAACATGCACTATGCTACAGGAAGAGATTGGAGAGTGTTACCTACCGGAGAACTCTGGCGGCTCTTCACAGCAGCGAATATAATGAGAAAGTAAGAGAGAAATCTTCAGAACATCAGGTTCTATACGTACCTAATCTTCTTCAAATTTCTATCTCGATTCCGTGTTTTTCTATGTTTCTATTAAGGTTATGATGCGTCAATGAAATTCGTATGTGTCGTTGTATTGTAGATGTTGTCATTGTTGAATTCACGGCGACGGTGATGGAGCAACGGTGTTGCGGCTATGGATGAAGTAGAGGAAGTTGAAAGTTTTGTTATGGAGAGAAATCAGAGAGTGGCTCTGAGAATTTCTTGGTGAAGGAGGGTGAGGATTGGGAGAGGAAGAAGAAAGAATTTGAGAGAGTTTTTCTGGTGATTCTTCAGAGAATGAAGAATGCTGAAGATGAAGATAAGAGGAGAAGAGAGAGTTTGATGGTGATTCTTCAGAGAATGAAGAATGAACGATTTCTGGTGAGTTTCTGGTTTTATTCTGTTAGAGTTTGTTACAATTAGAATGTATCTGAGTGGTTAATTTGAAAGTTGGTTAGAAAATTGGATGGATAGGATTGGTTGTTAGGAGGTTAGCTATGTGTTAGTTCATTTGATTTTCTTCTGATTTAATATTTTCCGTATTTTTGATTTTCTCCACTACAAAATCCACTGTTTCCTCTCTTGATATTTTTCTCTGATATTTTGCTTTTTCCTGATTTCTCATTTTCTGTTAGTTAGCAGTCCTCCAAAATTATGTTATGTTGTGCTGATTTTAACTGGTTTTTCGCCTTGAACATGGATGCAATTTGGATAACAGACCACCGGTTTCTACACTGATAATGCAGGGCAACTTGGATATGATAACTGGTTTTGGTTTTTTGTTATTTTCCAGTTTTCCTGATATACTGACATTTGTATGCTGATTTTTCTACTGCAGCCTCTTCCGACTTAATGAATTTCTAGATAATTGAATCGTGCAGGGCTTTTTTTTGGTTCAAAGTGCAAGGTTGGGTTATATTGATGCTTGAAAAGTCATGAATATGAAAATTAGTATAGGCTTTCTTGAAACAATTTTGTTACTTGTATGCTTGTAAATGTAGTTTCTTTGAAAGGTTGGAATTTGGATGTAACATGTGATTGAATATATCTTTGTAAGCTTGAATCTTAGGAACGTTGATCCATATATACTTCTCATGAATGCCTTGTAAACTTTGAATGCCATTTGAAAATTGATCTTGAAACAAGGTCTTGAAAACTGAATGAGTTTGAATGAACTCGAATTTGAATAATGCTTGATCATGATGAACAATAGAACTTGAACAATATTTGTAAGACCTTGAATTGAAATTTCGAACTTTGAATGAATAATGATATAAGCATTTGCCTTGTACCTTGAATACTAACTTGAACTAAATCTTGAGTAAGTCTAGTAATTTCATTACTTATTTTCCAAGAAATGAACCATGAATGATTCTTCCGATCTTGTATGCCTAAAGATGGACCTTAATCTCACTTGAGTTTAATAAATCCAAATCCTGTTGTAAGTGAGTATCCCATTCCGATTTTGACAAGTGAATGACAAGCGACCTCAATCCATATCAGTCTATCAAGAAACATCTCAAAGTAATCTTTAATCAAGATAACTCACATAGGGAAAAGACATTGCTCGCAAAGGAATCACAACTTCACACCATATGCCATGATTCAAAGTTTTAATCATTTGATCCATAAAACATCCCAACTTGAAAGCCAATGACCCCACCATAAGACTAATGCCCTTGAGGGAAACCTTGAAGAAGATAAGACTTGAAGCAGTAGAAGTGACGACGATCACAAAACACTAATCAATCTTCCCTTGATGAAAAATAGATCCACAACAAATATGAATCAAAACCCTAACTCCACTTTAATGTTTAAAGAAGAATCAAATGAAATCAGCCTTATTTGACATATATACACCTCAAAACATTGTAAAAACCCTAGTTTGCACAACCACTGAATTTTGAAATCAGCCAGATAAAATAAAGTAGGAGGGTAAATTTTGGGGTGCAACACCTATTCAGCATAGCAGGACTAAGCATATTGTCATCCGTCATCATTTTATTAGAGATCTTGTTGAAGATAAAGTAATTACTCTGGAGCATATAGCCACTGAAAAACAACTGGATGATATTTTCACCAAATCCTTGGATACAAATCAGTTTGAAAAGCTTAAGGGTGGCCTTGGTGTCTGCGTTTTTTAGGAGACTTGGGTTCTAAAACTTGTGTGCTTCAATCTAGTGATTAGTAGTTTGTTTGCTTAGATTTATAGTTGTGTGGTTTATTTGACTGTACATATTTTTTTATTATTTTTGTTTCCATTTGAGCTTCCATTGTTTATGTAGTGTCTTTGTGCTCTTGCAATATGTATATTTACTCTATTCTCTTTTTGTCAAGATTTTGAATAAAAATGGGGAGTAGAGTACTGTGTTGTTTGTGGTTGCATATGCAACTATTCAGAGGTAACATGAATGTTCATGCTTGCTTTGTGTTTATGCTGCTGCTACTGATGTAGCCAGTTTGTGCAAGATGAGAATGTCTTAATAGATGTTCCAACATTCTTTCTGGTGTATGTTGAGAATCACTTAGATTTCTCTTCTAGTGTGGGATTTGTCCTTGAGGGGGATAACCTATTATGTGTGACATAGGGAGTACTAACCTATCTATATGTGTAGCTGTTGTAACTCTGATATATATATATATATATATATATATATATATATATATATATATATATATATATATATATATATATATATATATATATATATATTCCTCTCTCCTAGATATTTTGTGCTAAGATTGTTTTAGCCAAAAAAATTCAAAGGAGGAGATTGTTAATACCATGGTTTTGTGATTGGCTAAATTTTGGCAAAACATAGTTTGACATAGCAGGTTTGCTATTTTGTGTTTTTCAGCCAGATGTCGAAGACAATGTTACGACATCTTGGTATGGTACATCAGATATAGTTGTTTGACTTATTCTTGACATATTTAAATTGATTATATGAGATTCTTTTTGGTTATATCTCAGTAATTTTTCGCAGGTCAAGGATATTAAAATTTGGAACAAATAATTTATCTCCAGCTGTACACAGGTTGCTATAATTGGTTGATTGAGACAAATTAGGAAATCTTATATTTTTTGTTCCAAGATTCAAGGAGATTTTCCTGCACAGATTGATGCAGCCCTCAACGTGGACAATAAGGAATATTTGAGCATAGATGCAAGGCCCAAGGATGACCGAGGAGTATTTAAAGAAACTACCAAGACCTAATATCATTAAGAATTTTGAAAAATAAAGGGAAGCCGTGTTTTCCCAGTCTTAAGGTCTGAGGATTCTTCAAGGGAGTTTATGTTTTTATTTGTATTTTCTCATGTATCTTTTGATGCATTTTAGTGGACTGATTGTTACTTAATAGTTTTTTAAGTTATTGTTCTCACTCTAAAGCTTTTATGCAAAAGTTTGAGTATTGTGATTGAAGTGTAAATTTCAGTTTTAGTTTGGTTTCAAGTCATTGTGATTGTGACTGGATTATAGATTATCACTGGGATGGGGCAAGTCTTTTATCACTGCGGTGATTGGAAGCGATAAGGGTTCTCATATCTAGGAGGTGCATAGGTAGAATTTGCACTGGGTAGTAATGACATGATAAGTTGTAAGCTGTTATTGCTTAGGCTTAGAATTAATATTGCTGATAGTGGATTTCCTTCTTGGCTTGGTAGCCCCTAGAGTAGTTGAGTTGTACCGAACTAGGTTAACAACTCTCTGTGTTCTTTTACCTTTTGCGCTTTATAATTATGCATAGTTTTAATTTTGGTAAAAAAATTTATTCTGTCAGCAGATGTCATAACATCCATCGTGACATTGTGTTTGTGTATTGAGACATCAGTCTTGACAGTTATATTGTGTGTGCCAGAATTTCAAGTGAGTTACAGGATGCTCGAAAATCATTTATTAGTGTAAGTTGTCCTTCAAATATAACTTAATTGTTCATATAAATATTTTGTAAAGCAATTCGAAAATTTATATGTTCAGTTAGGGTTTGGTGAAATAAGCAACCTACATTATATATAATAAACTCAATTGTGTTTTACATGTCGGTTAAATGATAAAATTGAGGGAAAAAGTGTTTTCGCCATTTAAAAATTTCAAAAAAGTTATCGTTGAGGATCGAATCCATGATCCATTACATTCTTTCGTCGATAAAATTACAACTGAGAGATAAAATGACACACTTTTAATGACGCTCTTTATTACTCCATATATAAAACTGAAGTTACACCTCAAATCCAACCGAAATTAAAAATATTTTCCGTAATAGTGTCGACCAACAAAATAAATTTAATCTATAACTATTACACTTGTCCATTTTATGAAGCAAACATACGATCAATCAAAATAAATCTATTTTACAAATTTATCCTTTATCTTTTTCCTTTATATTTTACCACATTTTTAGTTTAATCGCTCACAAGAATTTTTTTAATAAATCTATTTCGTGGTTGATATCTTGAATTTGGATGTGGGGTGAGAATGGTTAGGTTTTAAGGGAGAAGAAGTTATGGGAGAAGTGTCTTGCTTTGCACATTAATATTTCTTTGCATGTTTATGGTGCTGACTCGTGGGCATGGCAACACGTTCATGGTAGTACAGTTAAAGCAAGATATAATGTATTTTGAAATGAGGATGGCTATGAAGAATTACATTTTTATGAAGTTACTTGGAACAGATTGGTTCCTTTAAGGGTATCATCATTAATACACCACCAACAAAAGATAATATGTTTCGTCGTGGACTTGCTAAAGTTGTTTCGCAACTTTGTTTGGGTGGTTGCGGGTCTAACGAAACTCCTCTTCATTTGTTTTTTATTGTCCTATTTTGGAAAGGGTGTGGTATCATATTTTAGGATGGGGGAATATTCATAGTGTGCTGTTAAATAGGAGTTGTTCATGTTTTAGGTACTGATAATGTTAATTTCTTACTTGAACTTTGATAAAATATAGTTAAAATGTTTTTTCTTAAATAAGGTTAAAATGTTCTCATCTTTTAAAAGCTCTTGAGTAGTTTATTTCAGCAGTCAACACTATCTCACACGCAATATACATAAGAAAGTCGATGAAAATAAGTGAGTGATCCAAGTTTTATTTGAAAAAAAAGGAAAGAAAAAAGAATGCACCTTCTAAGTTTGGTGATCCTCACTCGGTCACTTAACCCAACGGTCGTAGAACCTACAAAAACAAGTTGATAATAAGACTCGTTGTTAATTGGTTCAGCGGTTTCTGGTGCTGAACTTGGTAGGGCGGGTTACGGTCCGACCCCCCACAACTACAACTGAGTAAGCAAAGGGTTATGCCACGTAAGTACCAGAACCCCGTACAAAAAGGATCAGAGTCACTAACCGGTCGCCTTGCTATGAGTGTGTGGAGAAAACGACTTAATGTGATTGCGCCTGAATGAAAAAGAGAAAAAAGGAGGATGAGTAAGTTAAGCTTTGGCATAATAATATGATTCAAATTGGTTTGTATATTCAAGAGACAAGATTAGTGTTCCTACGACATTCTTAGTATGCAAGATTAGTACATATTGATGCAATCTTAACCGAAGAAGAGTTCGTAGCCTAGAATGAGTAGCTGATGATGCTTTTGTGTTTCTTTTGATTTTATTTTGCTCAGAGTGCAAAAGTTCAAGTGTGGGGAAATTTGATCAGTGCATTTTGATGCACATTCTTCCATGATTATACTTATGCATTTCCATGGTTTGTTTAGCTTATTTTTGTATTTTATAGTGTTTTTCTATTTTAGTTTATTTATACTCTTATTTGATTTTCGCACTTTATTTTCAGCATTAGCATTCTGCACGAATAAATTCATAACTTGAGCTACAGTAGTTGGAATGAGGCGTGCTACCATTCATTGGAAAGCTAAGAGAAAGAGCTACAATTTTCATTCAGAAGTCGAGAGCTGAATCGAAATGTAGCAGAGCCATAAAATTCATTAAAGTTACAACATTAGAAATATTTCTTGTTTTGAGTTATTTGTAATGGGCCTGGGTTATAATTTTGACCCAGTTGGGTTGTAAACGGGTTGTCTGGTTTTCTCCTAATACCCCAACAGCCGTGTACTATTCATCTATCACTATTCACAAAATAATTTGGAGAGCTTGATACGAATCTCTATGGAGAACTAAACTCCACGCATTAATCTACTGTAACGGTTTCCGCAGATACTTTGAGGTTCTAATATTTTCCAATTAATCT